TTCCCATTACTTAAAAGGTACTGAAGTTATGCGAAATTAATATAAGAAATACTGTAATAAGTTAACTCATGTAAAATAAATTTATAAAAAACAATACTACATTAAAGTACTAGCTCAGAATAAAAATAGTATGAGAAAAACATGTACTACAATTAACGAAATAATTAAGCTGAAAAATAAAGTTTCTGTTCATCCCGATACTTATCTACCTGATAACAATTCAATTACTAGTCCAAAGGCAGTTACTGACAAATTTAATAATTACTTGCAAGGTATTGGTACATCCATGTCCAACAAAATTAAAAAGATAGATACACCTTTTCAGAACTTTTTATCGAATCCAGTTACAAATTCCATCTTTTTGACTCGTATTGTAAATGAAGAAGTAATCTCTATTTTCAAAAGTATGAATAGCAAGCAGTAACGCTTTTGCCGTATTGTTTATACTTTGCTTTGTTAAAATTCTTGTACTAACTAACATTGAAAACGATAAATAAAACGGTTATATCTTATAATATGTATGTTTTTTGTAGACGAGCCTTCCATACGTGATGCGATAGTTACCAGGTCTACCAACACCAATGTCTTCTACATCGCGATGGGCTGTGCATTGGCACTCATAGTTGTCATAGCAACATTAGTAATAATATACTATATACGATCCAGGAAACATAATGACAGAGTAAGGTAAGTTGAACTAGCCAGGGATTTGCTGTTTGTAGAGCAGTATGTGCCCTTAAGCAAGGAAATACATGGCAGTGGTAACAAAAGCACGTCAACTTTTATAGTCTTAGAACAAGAGCCCGGGGTCATTTATCTGTTTGAAGTGACCATTTGTTTGGTGGCTATTTTTGGAAAGAGTATATACCTTAGTAGGGCTGACAACTTTCACGCATTCGGCGTGAGACTCATGCAATTGATGCTAATCTCACGCTCTCACTCCTGGTCTGCTAATTCTCATACGCGTACTCGTACGCGGTGCACATTACATACATGTGTATGTTTCAAAACTCATTTTAAGTATGCACCAGAATGCACAGTTTCAAGCTGAACCTGCAAAAGCTCCCTTGTGTGGGAGGGGCCCCTCCCACACCCTTGGGGTTAAGGTCAAAGGGTAAATATAAGGGATATGGGAGCAGCATTTGTAAGCTTATAAAAAAAACTTGGGCAAACTGTGGGCCATTAAAAAAGGCCAATGGTAGACTAGATCATGAAACAAGGTCAAATCATATACATGTACTCACATTTAAAAATTGAGGTCAAATCATATACATGTACTCACATTTAAAAATTGAGGTCAAATCATATACATGTACTCA